TTTTGAAAATAAATATTGAAATTTGTATTGTTAGCGCATATCCGGTCATCCATGGTCATGCTATCAATAACTGGTCCAGCATCATGGCCCGAATCCGTAAGAGGCCTCGCTGGGATTTTATCATAATTAATAAAATTATTTGTAAGAACCTTCAGTAAAGTAGTGGTACGGATACGAATAGGCTGGTGATCGGCGCTCCAAATATTAGGTGGGCAGTCAATATTAGCATTCAAGATATAACTGCACGCAGGTGAATCCACTCCTGGTAATAATGAGCGAGAACGTTCTACAGCAGCCGCAGTCCATTGTTGTTGTTGATGGCGAAAGCATCTCCAAAGAGCACCTTCAGAGAGAGCACTCTGAGAGAGTTGTTGTAGAAAGTCGAACGTCAGAAAGGTAGAGACGGAGAGCGCATGACTATTAGGCGATGAAGAGTAAGAATCCACCCGATTTTCTAGGTACTTCCGGAGAGAGACGCAAGATGATGAGAGCGCAACTCCGAGGAGCGCGCCGATATTAGAGCCAGGCGGACGGCGAATGTCGCGCACAGCGGACAACAAAAGCTCCAGCTGATGTTGTTGACGGTGCAACGGGAGAGAGGCGCAAGATGATGAGAGCGCAACTCCGAGGAGCGCGCCGATATTAGAGCCAGGCGGACGGCGAATGTCGCGCACAGCGGACAACAAAAGCTCCAGCTGATGTTGTTGACGGTGCAACGGGAGAGAGGCGCAAGATGATGAGAGCGCAACTCCGAGGAGCGCGCCGATATTAGAACCAGGTGGACTGCGAACGTCTCGCAAAGCAAACAACAAAAGCTCCGGCTGATGTTGTTGATGAAGCATCAGGAGAGCCACGGAAAGTGATGTGAGCGCAACTCCGAGGAGCGTGCCGATATTCAAGCCAGGCGGACGGCGAATGTCGCACAAAGTGGACAACAAAAGCTCCGGCTGATGTTGTTGATGGTGCGTTAGGAGAGAGTCAGAAGATGAAGAGAGCGCAGTGAGAAACGCAAGCAGCTGCCGATGTTGTTGCGAAAACGACTCCGACAAATGAGGAAAGGCTTGCAGACGATGTCCCGCAAAAGTATCGACGCCAGTGGCGTCGAACACTAGGGGTTTTTTGACGGCTGACTTGATGATGAAGTTGGTCCAGGCTCCGGCAAATTAGATAAAATTCCATCCCCTACCACAGTGGCCCGCTCTCTATGAATAAATCTTTTGACCTTAACTGAGTTCGGCCAGAAATCGTTTTTGAAGACTATATCGTAAAGCTGATCAGGGATACCAAGCTTGAAATTTACAAATTTTAAAGTTTGAACGTCGACATCTTTTTTTACAAGCTTTGCACAAGTGAGAGAACTAGCATCCACCTTAAGCTTGGTGGACACATATTTTAAAACAGCATTCGGATCTGTATCAGTTGCAAACTTTCCGACATGCAAAAATTTCTTGGTCGGCAAAACATGAAGGTCTTCAGCATTAGGAGCCACTCCAACAACATGTTTATTGGGCTTGTTGTTGTTCCTTCTCCTCTTATTTCGTACTTGTATGAAATTTCCTCTCTCCATATCCAGAGCATGATTAGAAGGGTCAACGACCGCGGAAGCCGTAGCAGCAGCAGCCGCATATGACAGGGGAGCTGCAGCTACGTTGGTAGGCCTCGGTAGACGAGGTTTCGGATTTACATTCTGATGCAATGCATCATCTTTAGGGGGGAACGCCTCCATGAATTTATTTTGAAGGCCCTGATATAAGCGCTCCAGGGCTTTCAATTTTTCATCGAATTCATCTATTTTAGAATGCGAATCATTCGCAACCACACAGCTATCACATTGCCATAGTATATTTGGATTTAATAAGAGTTTGAGCACATCATCCGGTAGGGCTACGCAAGAAGTATGATAGGCGCGACGGCACAAAGAAGAGCAGCGAACAGCATCCGAAGCGCGAAGCTGGGCCAATGTAACATCGGTTTTGCACTCGGGACAGCGGGGAAGTAACATAGCGAGAATTTAAGCACGTCTGGACGCAAAGAAAGCTAGATGACGACTGGACTATATTCCAAGACTCCCTTTTCTATATTTATTATAGCTCCAATTTTTCTTAATAAATTAAATCCAATTAGCAGATCAGATTCTAATCCTTCGATTTCATAAAATCAATCTTGTTTCAAATATATTTATAATATGGTAATACCTAATAATTGAATACCCATGAACTGTAGTTACCTTTTTGTATATTGATAACTCATTTTTATTTTCGAAAATTCCCTTTTTTATATAACAAGCAGTGGCTCCTGTATCTATTAAAGTCTTTAACTGCTTCTTGGTTTTTCGGTCTGTCCTATTTAAATAAGGCATTCCCCTGTAGGGGTCTGGTCTAAAAAATGATCTTCGTTGATATTGTTTAATCTGGTTACTTTATTAGCTGGCTGAATTACTGTTCCTTCTGGTTCCCTTTTCTGAGCTTGAGTTTGCTCTTTATTTTGATTAGCGCGATAGTTATTTGATCGATTATTATTTTGATAATAATTATTATTGTATCTACCTCGATTATTATTTGCCTGCCAATTATTATTCGGCTGTCGATTGTAACTAGGTTTATTCTGGAGTTGAATCGATGGATCACCATCCATCGGCTCGACGGCTTGTTGCTTTTGATTATTATTATGATTATCGTTTTGCCAAAAATTTCCCTTTTGTGGCCAATTATAATTCTGGTTATTACTCCAATAATTTCCCGTTTTATTAGTATTATTGTTCTGTCTTTTTTGATCAAATCGTAAGTTGTTTCCCTGATATTTATTTTCATTTTTAAATCCATTAAACCTGTTTGCAAATTGAGCACGGAAATTGTTTGATTCTAGTTCTTGGACCTTTGCCAAAGCATTGCGTAAATCTGGTGGATTTAATGAAAAAAGAGTTTCTGAGATAGATCCATTTAGCCCAGATATAAAAATTCGTAAAGCATTGCTCCTTATTGTTTTGTTTGTTTCTTTGGCAATTACGCTGTCCTTTCCGTATGTCATTATGGTTTTGTTTATTAGTAGTGTCATTTTTTTATTGACTTCATTATAGTATTCTGTAACTGTCATTAGTCCCTGCCTGAGGATACTTAGTTCTGACTCGAGAATATGTATTGGTCGTTTATCGCTATATATAAAGTCCAATCTAGATAAGATTGCTCGAAAGTTTAAAACGGTGCCATGATTGGTAAGAGCATCATGGGCAGCTCCCAAAATTTTATTTCGTAAAATTGTTAAGGCGATAAAATATTGTTCACTTTGAATTTTATAGAGACTCATTACAGTTTCTGCGGCTTCCCTCCAACCTACATATTGTGTTGGTTCCCCCGTGAATTTTGGTAAAGATTTTACCACTTCAAGTGTTGTATCGCATTTTATAGTTGGGTCGATTGTTTGTATTTTATAATCCTCCACAGTGTTTGCATCTGTGGCTAACTTTCCTTCCAAACCTTCTATTTTCCTGCTCACTTCATTTAATTGAACATTTATCAATCTATTTATTAATTCCACTGTTAAGCCGCCGGCTGTGGCTATACTACCTGCAGAAAAATTTGGTGCTGAACCTCCGGTTGCCATGGTTAGATTTATTTCACCAAAGCTATTTATTAAATCTTCCAGATTGTTTCTCAATATTTTTTATTAAATCGTGAATCTATCTTACTTTCTATCAATGTTTAAATCTTGTATTATTTTTTTTTTTTTTTAATTCCCTGATCTTAGATTATAATTTTTAATTTAATTTTTTTTTATTGAAAATTAATTTCTCACGAGACTGTCCCGATGGGGTCTTCCTTCTGTGAGGTTGTGGGTTGATCTTCCTTCCTGGATTCAGTAGAAATTATTGGCAATAGAATGCCCTTCCTTCCTTCTTTAATTTTTCCAGTTTCAGTGTATTGTGATTTAGTTGTTGTTGTTGTAAGAGCTGGTTTGTTGAACTGTTTTTGTTTAGTGCGTTTCTGGTTTTGCTTTATTTTGTGTTATTGTAATTTTTTTTATTTAAGATTTTGGTCCACCCTTTTTTTATAGTTCACCTTTAAATGGATTATTTCATTTATTAATTTCCATTAAATTACTGTTAATGACCACTGTCACTTTGTTTTGATGTTTGGTGGATTTTTTAATTTCTCCACTAGAAATGTTGAGTTGTTGGCCGCGCGAGCTCCGTTTATATTTAACTTATTTTTCACTAAATAATTTTTGGAACTTTTTATTTAACGCGGCCCCACGTTGGGCGCCAATTAAATTTGTCGTTAATAGATGAATTAAAAAAATTTATTTTTTATTTTTAAAACTTGGGTGATAAACCTTTATTCTTAAATCAAATTAATACAAGACACTTTTTGAAAATTGTGAGCCGATCGCGGTCTCGGATAAAATAGGACTGAATCTTAATTCTAAAAAATTATCCAATGAACCTCGGCCAGTAGCTTTCCTTTTCTTAAGCTTCCAGAACTTTAATTTTTGTTTAAAATAAAAGCTTATGCTGAAACTGTCGCATCTCGTTGTGAAATGAAATTATGCTGACCGATGCAATTTGATTGAAAATCGGAACGCAATTCGTTCTGAACTTAGAACGCAATACTGTGGGCTTTGAACGAAAAAGTTTGGGCTTCGAACGGAAGCTTGTGTTTACTTTACGATTGGTTTATTTATCTTAGCAGGACGGTCAAGCGCGGCCCTCGAAATGAATGGCAAAGGCAACGGCAGAATCTTAAACAAAGGCAAAGGCAATGTCGCTGAAGGCAAGGGTAACATAGCTGAGATTGAATTCAAAAATTTGTTTATAAATTCCATAAGTGGAACCGTTTCACGGGTTGGATAACTCACATGCTAGACTTTCTGAACGCCTGGTAGAGATTTATTTAATTTCCCACCTTATGTTTTGTTATTGCTAGAATTCATTGTATTTTGGTTATTTTGCTGAAGACAAAGAATTTATTATTAATAAAAGTACACACACATAAACATTAGAAATAATATTTTAATAAAACAATTACAATTCACAACCGTCTTCTCGCGGACTCGAACCTGTGCTACCATGTGTCGAAGGCGGACGCTCTAGCAGCTAGACCACCAAGCGAATTTTTCGAATGCGGAAAATCGGGACCTAGACCTACATACATGTTTTTATGAACGGTGTTGATATTATCGATTTCGATAGACTTTAACGCGTCTATCGCAGCTTTTTCCTGAACGGCGTTCGATATCTGAGAACATTTTTCGCAATTTGGAACCAAGTTGTTCGTCGGTAGAAATTGTTACCAACACCGTTCGATTTTTGAAATGTGAGAACTAAAAATGGAGAACGGATTGTTCGCATTTCATGAAAAATGTTCTTCATTTTTTTCGTTCTTTTTTTTCTGGGTGTAGAGGCTCTAGTTTCGAGCCTTTTTTAACAATTAATTAAAACTAAACAATTGATATTTTTACTGTCGGGTTTTTTATCATTTGTTTATTTAACTTAGAAGAGTACATAAAATAAAATTTAAAAAAAAAAAAATTTTTTTCATCGAGTTATGCGTTCTTGAAGTAGAAGGGAAAAAAAGGCCGTGTCCTCGTCGCCATGATTTCTACCCTTGTGGTCATCTGAAAAATAAAAAAAAAAAGATTCTTAATCAGTACGAATGTCGCTATGTCATGAACCAGCAAAACTAAAAAAAAAATTTTTTTTTCATAAAATGGCTGCCACTCAAAAAAAAGGTAGATTTTTTACAAATTTTTTAATTTTATCGAACTTTTTTAAAAATATTACAAATTTTAAATTCTTATTTTTTGTTGGTTCATGCGATAGAGAGATATTGAAAGAATATTCATTCCAAATTTTAAGTAAATCGGCTGATTAGAACTTTAAATATTATGGCTACCGTATCAGAAAAAGTAGTTTGGAGAAAAACGCGTTTAAAGTTTTACGTTAAATTTCAGGCAGTGTAACTGAAGAATAGCACGTATAACTTACATTCTCTTAATCAGCCATCCCAGCTTTATACATTGGGCCTTCTTCTACTTCATATCGATTAATTTTAGCAGTTCTTTCATGATAACGAGCAGTTCTTCCTTCTTTTGAAGCATCTGAAGCTCGGACCTCAGACCGTTGGATCCTTACAGCGTTGCGCTTAACAGCAAACCCATAATATTTAGAATAGGATAAAAACCTTCATTAAAAAACAGACTGCTAAATAATTTGCAATTAATTTGCAAGAGATGAAAACACAGAACAAAATTCTAATAAACAATAACCAAAATTACTATCCACTAAAATTTCATCATCACTTGAACTCTTCAACTTTGCTGCCGATGCACTAGTAAAAGATGTATCCTCTTCAAGAGTATGTTGATTACCGCTAAACCTCCGTTTTTTTGATCTGCCGGGACGCGAAGTACCTTGTCTGCTATTTTTTTTTTCCATTTTAAAACAAAAATAAAATAATATAAAGAGCGCACAGAAAAATTCACACGTGATTGTACGTCTTCACTGTTTAAAGGTTAACAAGTGACTAAATCAAACTAAAAGCAAATTGAATAGAGATTTTCGTATAATACGTTACAATGACATTCAAACGATTGATATAGTATACTGAAAATAAGGAAATAAATAAGGAAATAAATAGAAAGAAGGAGAAAAAGTTATTCATACTCAGGTAGCCCGGGCCTCCAGTCGCTCGTTCAACCGGTCTAGTTGCCGCGTCACTAAAACGGCTATAATTTTAAAAATAATTTGAATTTTGAAAAATCCGTTTAGGGAGATATTTTTGAATATCTAAACTATCGAATTATGAAAAAAAATTGTTTTCCATTTTTTCAAATTTCTAGGCTATAATACCCCCTTAAGTGCAGGGGATTGCGTACGTTACCCTTTTCAGAAGTAACGTAACTTCACACACGCACTCACATAAGGGTAACATTGGGCCGTAAGACGGGGGTAAAATGGGTCCGTGAAGTATGACATAACAGGACCAAGGCCCGACAGCAGCATTACGTGCCTTTTGTGAAGGCTGCGCATCCGTTTCTCTTGGCATCCGGCGCAGAAATTGGCATATCTACCCATATTATCCTTCGAATCAAATGGGAATTATATGCCGCCCAAGATAGTGGCGAAAGGTAAGCTAAATATTTTTCAATCAAATTTCATTGAATGTCACGTATACGCAGCACACATACTTGTTAGTTATGCTTGCATGCCCAAAGCAGCAGAGTAATGAGAGCAAATATGTAGAAGCCGGGGAATGCAGAAGATAAGTATCGAGTCACGAAATTATCGATGGCTCACTCGCACAGACATTCTCCTCTGTGTAAATGCGTTCGTGTTTGTGGAGCACAGTATTTGCATTAGAGCTAATTCTTAAGTCATTGTCGGCGTCTGTTGCCACACTTATGCCCATTAACCAACTTTGCACAAGGAATATTCCACAAGTTTTGACTGCCTCTGCCAGCTCTGCTGGTTCGCAGCTCCTGCTTAATTTTTGATGAATCCGATATTGCCGATGACAGTGAGCTGTGCGAGTTCCCAGCAAGAGATAAGGGCGTTCAAAGCAGGCAGCAGACATGTCAGTCAAAAATACTTGGACATATTTCGAACGTTGTTTATTTACAAGAGCTAAATATTTGACAGCGGCGGGCCATTTCAGTAATACATATTTCAGTCAGCCGTGAATAATATACTTAAACGCAAGTTTCACCGCCATTGAGGCACTATCAAAGTATACTTTATAAAAAAACAGGAAAGGAAGTTATTTTCGGCAAGCCGAAGTTTGTATACCCTAGCAGTTTTAATTATTAAATTTAAAAATACAAAGAATGCTATTTCCAATAGTATAAATTAATATGCCAAAAAACACCGAAGCTATAATTTGTTTCATATTATTTTTCCACCAATTTTCCGATCGTTCCTATGGCAGCTATATGATATAGTCGTCCGATTTTGATAAAATTAAATTAGAAATTCAGAACTAATTAAAAAATGTTATTTCCAAGCGTTGGAGGTTTTATGTTAAACAAGAAAGGAAGTTAACTTCGGCAAGCCGGTAGACAGATTTATGGGCGTTAGAGTGGGCGTGGCAAACTTATTCAATCGATAGGTATTGACGAGACTAATACATTTCAGTTAACATTTTTTTCTAGCATGAAAATTGTGGGCGCCACAGGCTTAGGCGGTTTGTGGGCGTTAGAGTAGGCGTGGCAAACATTTTTTTGATCAATCGATAGGTATTAACAAAACTAATACATTTCAGTTAAAATTTTTTACCTAGCATAAAAATTGTGGGCACCACGGAACAAAATTGCACTGCGTACAAGGCTACGGAATCTAAATCTGAGATTCCAATTCTCTATCTTCTATAGTTTCTGAGATATCCGCGTTCATACTTACGATTTTTTGAAGTTTGTGGGCGTTAGAGTGGGCGCGGACAACTTTTTTTTGGGTAAATCGATAGGTATGGATGGGGACAATACATTTCCGTTACAATTTTTATTCTAGCATAAAAACTGTAGGAGCCACAGTTTTGGGCGGCTTGTGGGCGTCAGAGTGGGCGTTAGAGTGGACGAGGCACATTGCTGAAACCAACTTGCGCTGCGTAAGAAGTTTAGGAATCTGCACGCCAAATCTCAATAGCCTAGCTCTTATAGTTTCCGAGATCTCAGCGTTCATCCGGACGGACAGACAGACGGACATGGCTAGATCGACTCGGCTAGTGATCCTGATCAAGAATATATGTCCTTTATGGGGTCGGAAACGCATCCTTCTGTCTGTTACATACTTTCCGACGAATCTAGTATACCCTTTTACTCTACGAGTAACGGGTGTAAAAACACCTAAGACATAATTTTTTAAAATTTTATTTTCCGATTATTCCTATGGGAGCTATAAGATATAGTAGTGATGTAAATTTGGGTCGAAACATCGATGTCGATCTTCATCGTTGTTTGCAAAATGATACATCGATGTTTTGTGAAACATCGGCTAGAAACATCGATGCATCGATGTTTTCAACCCATTCCGTTATTTTTCGTTAATTCAATTTGTAGAAGCCTATTAAATTTTTTATTGAGATTTTTTAATATTTAAATAAGAAGGAATTAAGACTAAAAAAATAAAAGCTTTCTTAGTTTTTTCTTTTTTATTTCTTCATTGAGTGGTTTTGTTAACAATTTTATAAACGAACTTAAAACTATATCAATTCATGAGCATTCAGCAGTCTTTTTCATTACATCACGGCACTGAAACCATATGTTCTGCAATGTTGTGCAACTCGACGCCCGATGTTTTGGTTAAACATCGATGTATCGATAGACATCGGCATAACATAAAACATCGGAAAACATCGAAAAACATCACCGAAAAATCATCGATTCTCGATGCATCGATGTTTTTTTACATCACTAAGATATAGTTGTCCGATCCGGCTTGTTAGGACTTATATACTACCTGCAAAAGATAAATGACTTTTGGGTAAGTTTCAGCCTGATAGCATTAAATCTAAGAGACTAGTTTGCGTAGAAACGGACGGACAGACGGACATGGTTAGATCGACTCGTCTAGTCATGCTGATCAAGAATATATATGGGGTCTCCTTCACTGCATTGCAAACTTCTAACTGAAACCATAATACCCTCTGCAAGGGTATGTATGCGTGTGACGACGCGCGCTAATTTGTTGGATTCTACGAAATCGAAGTACGGGTGAAATAATTTAATAATTTAAATTTAAGTTTGTATGTATATATTTATGTTTAGGCTGTTTTCACTTTACTTTGGCTTCAATTATACATACATACATACATACATACATATGTACATATATACATATGTATGGCCGAGTACAGTTCAAAGAAAAAGAAAAAGCCGGGTGAAATAATTTAATAATTTAAATTTAACTTTGTATGTATATATTTATGTTTAGGCTGTTTTCATTTTACTTTGGCTGCAATTATACATACATACATACATACATACACATGTACATATGTACATACATACATACACATGTACATATGTACATACATATATACATATGTATGGCCGAGTACAGTTCAAAGAAGAAGAAAAAGCCGGGTGAAATAATTTAATAATTTAAATTTTACTTTGTATGTACATATATATTTATGTTCAGGCTGTTTTCACTTTTCTTTGGCTGCAATTATGAAATGGCAGGCGTCGTGCTGTGTTGAAAAAGCGGAATCAATGGTACTTTAAATAAATAAGTGTGTATGTGGGCAGCAACATTCAAAGCCAAAAAGGACATATGTATGTATGTATGTATCTCGCGGCTTTTTCTTTTTCATTGAACTGTACTCTTTTTGGCTTTGAATGTTGCTGCCCACATATACACTTATTTATTTAAAGAAACTTCACATCGATTTTTTGATAGCGCGATCAATTATTCTTTTTGGCTTTGATACATTTCGATTTAATAAACGCCCGACACGTCCAACTTCTTCGGCTGCAACTTTTCAATGGCACGCGTCGTTTAGTGGTGAAGAAAAAGAGTCATTGATCAAACCAAACGCGAAAGAATGAATGTGTGTGCATAGAACAAAAGAAAACCGCCAAAAATTATCTTAGCGCCTTCGTTTGTTTTCTGCCCATTTACATTCTTATTTACATATGTATGTCAATTTACTTTAATGTATATCAATTTGATTTTAAAAATGTACAATGAGTATACAGTTTATGAAATAAATCTTTTTGTACAAGAAGTCAGCTTAAAATTAAAATATTTATTTTAAATATTACCGTACTTTAAAGCGGACAGGGCAGAAACTTATATTTAAATATGAAACATATTTAAAAGTGATAATAAAAATAAAACACATTTTAATTAATAAATGTGTATGTAAATATAAAAGATATTTTCTTGAGGGGTTTTTTTTTTATATAAACATTGAAAAACCCTTTCAAAATGACACTTTCAATATTAATATTACAAACATTAAATATTAAAAACTGTAAAATAAAATAATTTGCATACTTAAAATTAATATGAAACATTTTTAGTTTAAATACGGATATTTTTAATTCTGAAAATATTAACGATAAATATATTTTTTTTTAAAATAAATATACCGAAATTTAAATTAAATATGCTATTACAAACATTTTTATTTTAAATATTAAAATCTCTAAAATAAAATAATTTGCATACTTAAAATTAATATGAAACATTTTTAATTTAAATACTGATTTTTTTAATTCTGAAAATATTAACGATAAATATAATATTTTTAAAATAAATATACCCAAATTTAAATTAAATATGATCTTCTTTGATTTAAATATTTTTATTTTAAGCTAGGCAATTTAATATGTTTCGTATTTAATATAATGTTTATTGTGTTAAATTTAAATATGATATATAAAATTTTGGATTCAATAGGCGCATATTTAAATTTACTATTCCCTTTTTTATCAGTGTACAGTCTCTGCCTGAGATGGACCTTTCAGGTAGCCATGGGCATACCCACCGCCCACTCTAACGCCCATAACGTTTAGATCTGTCTAACGCCCACATAACAATATATTGAGATCGCGGGTAGGTGGCGCATTTCAATCTCGCTTTGCTGCTTGCATATCTCCATTTCCCTTTGGTCCCTTTAGCTGAGTAACGGGTATCTGATAGTCTAGGTACTTGACTATAGCATTTTTCCTTGTTTTGTATGTAAATTAGTAGTTTAAATCTTCCTTCTTGGAATTCACCCATGTTCCCGGCACTGACTGCTAATGGCTCCTCCAGCTTTCCTATAGCGGACGACAATTTCTCCTGGTTCAAGTCCCACAATACTGAACAACTGCTTGGATTAGGCGTCCTTTTTAATCTGCACTGGCCTCCGGCATGCTTTTACGGGTTTTCCTTCCGCTTTTCATTTTTTGTTTTCACCCCGCTTCTGCGCAAGCACACTGATCGTTTAATTTTAAAATTCTTTGTGAGACGGCTAATGACGTTCATCGGAATTCACTTACCAAGTCAGGTATTTCTAGTATTTCCTTAGCTCATCTGAGTACCGCGGTAAAAAACGGACCAGACGAAAATCCTTAGCCGCCTGTTTGCCTCTCGCTCACTCCCATGGCTAGCTCGCGTTTTTCGTCGATGTGAGTACTAGCCTTTAAGCGTGTACGGCTCGTAAGTAACAACGCCAAATTACGACAACCACAAATATTTTTGAACGAAGTTTAAATCAGCAGTATTGATAAACGCCCGTTTCGACGACTTAATCGTACATCGATGTTGATCGATAGCCTAACAATAGAACGGAAGACGCACAGTTTTTTTTTTTTTTTTTTTTTTTTTAGTATAACAAATTTGTTTATTTAACGTTGATCAGCCAACCTAATGGCTGTAAAACGTTTTGTACGAAGAGAAATAATTAACATGGAAACATAACAGAAAAAAAACAGAACAAAAACAATTTTATTGCTTTAGGACTCGAGAGACCTGACGTCCTCTTGTCCAGAGATCACCGGGGTGCCTTCGCTTTAGTCTTCTTCTCGTTGTAATTTGGTTTGCCAGGGATGCTGCTAGATGGTTGGTGTGGGCTAGTAGACGGTCGTTGTAATGGCTTGAGTGCATGTTTATCTGCTCTCGCACCGTGGGGATGTGAAGATCGCAAGCTAGGACATCGTTCCTTACGTACCAAGGCGCATCCGCAATGGTACGTA